AGCTGATCCATGGTCCTGAATTTTATTTATATCATTTGTATACAATTTCTGAGATGCACATGGATATAGCTACAGCGCCATGTCTGTAGGTAAAGGTTTAGAGTTTTAAACGACAGATCCAGGAGGAAGACGATGGTGTGTCATGACTCTACTGGCCGGTTTAAATTCTGGCGTGTTATTCTGGCCAGAAACCTGTAGATCTGATATATTGTTTGTTTCTATTATGTTAATGAACTAACATCCAGTGTAGTTGGCCAAAAGAAGGAAATCAGAGGTTCAGTGTTCTGGGTTCGACCCCAGGCATAAGCTTTTGGTATATTTTCCTTCATTTTTGCCAGAGTCAGCACGTGCATCTTCTGAAGGTCACCACCTTCTGGATCCACCGTCCAGCAGCAGATCCAATGCATCATCTTTCTGACCCATTGGACAAGATCATATCCCATGCATCATATTCTAGATCCCCGTCAGAACCAGATCCAGCACGTGGGGGCCATTATCTTTTGGACCACCATCCTCTGATCACCATTATCTTCTGGATCATCACCCTCTGATCAGAGCCGCTGATACCAAACCCTTTTTCTTTTCTTTTATATTTTCCTTTTACTTATTTATTTTATTTAAATTATTTTCTCACACAAATTTAATTCTTTTTTTAACAAAAACTCATAAAAATCAATTTTCACTAAAATAGAATTTAGGCTTTTTATTTTTTTATTTTTATCAAAATTGATTTAATTAGTTTAATTTAATTTTAGGGTAACTTAAATCTTTTTGTAAATAAATTAAAACCAATTAGAAAATTAGGGTTTGTTTTAATTTTTATTTTCTTTTTCCTAAAATAACCAAAATACAAAAATAGGTCAAAATTAATTATTTTTCTTAATTTAATTTAATTAGTAATTAGGTTTGTATCATATTTAATTTAAAAACCTTATTTTCTTAAAATAATCAAGAACAACAAAATATGATTTTTCTTTTAATTAGGTTTAGACGGGGTCAAAACCCTAATTTTGCTCGTCCTCGATTCATCGCTTGTTTATTTATTTTTACAATATTGATGTAATTGCTCATGGGATGTAATAGATTAATTAGGACTTTTTTTGTTTATTTATCGTTTTACGGGTTTTTGGCTATGTAATTAATCCCCGAAGCCTTGTAATAGCGTAGCTTTATTTCTCGCATTTTAATTTTCGCAAATATTAACTGTTAGATGTATGATAATAGGATTGCATGACAAGAATGTATGTTAATTTTAAAATGGCCCTAAATGTGCAAAGATAATAACTGAAATCTAATCACTCGCACATGTGCACTCCTAGGGTATACTCTCACTTCGGTTGCCTTCGGTAAATGATCATTAAGTATATGGTGTTTTAGTGGTTGCCCTCTTGTCTAAACAAAGATCAAAAGTCCCGTTCAGAAATGTTGCCTCGGAAATGTTGCCTCGAATATGATCTTAAGACACTAGGGTTATTACTAAGACGCCCTAACATTGCTTTAGTGATCGTACGTCCCTTTCGAATTGACCCTTACAACTCCAACGACGGTGCTACCTACTCACTAATAGTGGGATAGCATTGTCTAAAGGAAACAAGAACAAAAACATTCTTTTTTCGAGTAGGTAGATGCTAGTAGGTACTTGCTCAAAAACAAACTTTTTCCACACTTACACTATTTTCAAACAAAGTTTTCAAAACGACTTCGTAACACTCTTGAAGACAGAAGTAAGGGTTAAATTGAAGTAAAACAAAAACTTTTTGAAATACAGAAACACGGAAGCAATTTTTAAAATGATGAGCAAGTACCTAAGAGCCCGTAGAAAACTACAGATAGAAAGGGTGCTAATACCTTCCCTTTCTATAATCTATCCCCTGTACTCAAAATCTCGAAAAAGGAATTTTTCTGTGCTTTTTTACCTTTCCAGTTGGATAAAATAAAAGTCGGTGGCGACTCTTGCTTACCGTGACATTTTGCGAACACAAATGCAAAACGCAAACCAGCATTTTCCTAAAAAAGTCCGGTTCTGCCACCGTATCACAACATCTAGTTCAAAATGAAAGTGGTGAAGTAATTAGCGGATTAAGAACATATGGAGGAGGTGAGTATACATCCACTGAGTTTAATGATTTTTGCTCATCAAACAACATAAATCATGAAGTCACTACACCATATACACCTCAACACAATGGGATCTCATAGAGGAAGAACAAAACTTCGGTGAACATGATAAGAAGCATGCTGAAGCAAAAGAAAATGCCTCATTACTTGTGGGGTGAAGTAGCTGCTAGTGCAGCATATCTAATCAATAGAAGTCCCACAAAGAAGCTACAAGATAAAACACCAGAAAAAGCATGGTGTGGAGTAAAACCAAGTGTTCAACATTTGAAGATTTTTGGCTCATTATGTTTTAAACATGTACCTGATCAACTGAGAAGAAAATTGGATGATAAATCTCAGGCAATGATTATGGTTGGTTATCATTCAACTGGTTCCTACAAATTATATGATCCAAAAAGTAAGAAAGTAATGTTCAGCAAAGATGTAAAGTGTGATGAATCAAAAGGCTGGAACTGAAAAGACAAGGTAACCAATAAGCTTGACAGTCACCTCTATCTATATGATTTAGAGATAGGAGAAGTTGAGACTGTGGAACAAGAAGAAATTATTGAGAATACAGATGAAGGAGGTACATGAGTCACTAATAGGCCAACAAAGAGCATTCAACACCATCCAGGTTGAGAGATTATGAGAGGCTCCCTGATCAAGTAGTCACAGATGAAGGTGACATAGTACAATTAGCAATGCTTGCTGAAACTGAACCAATGTCTTTTGAGGAAGCTCTTAAACAAAAACACTAGAAGAAAGCAATGATTGAAGAACTAGACTCTATAGAGAAGAATGAAACATGGAGATTAGTTCAATTACCTACTGAAAAGAAGTGCATTGATGTTAAGTGGGTATTCAAAACAAAACTGAAGCCAAATGGTCAGGTGGAAAAGTATAAGGCTAGACTAGTTGTAAGAGGCTTCCTACAGAAGTATGGACATGATTACTATGAAGTTTATGCTCCAGTAGCAAGTATGGAAACAATCATACTGATTGTTGCTATAGCAGTCAAGAACAATTGGACTATGTACCAGTTAGATGTAAAATCTGCATTTCTCAATGGTGAGTTAGAAGAAGAAGTGTATGTGAATCAACCACTATGATTTATGGTAAAGGGGAAGGAAAAGTATGTATACAAGCTTTATAAAGCTCTGTATGGTTGAAGCAATCCCCATGAGCTTAGAATAAGAAGATAGACAACTTTCTTGTTCAATAAGGCTTCATGAAGTGTGTAAATGAACATGTAATTTAGTGCAGAAACACCACTAATAAGCTCATTGTGTGCTTATATGTGGATGATATGCTAGTGCTGGAAGCAATGAAGCAGAGATGAAGGACTTTAAGAGAAATATGATGAAATGTTTGAGATGTCTGATTTAGGAAATCTCACATATTTTCTGGGAATTGAGTTGAAATGAATTCACAAGAAGTTGTGATTCATCAAGGGAAATATGCACAAGATGTTTTGAAGAGGTTTAATATGCTGAATTGCAAACCAATCTCAACCCCTGTTGATACAAGAGTAAAACTGTCTTTAGTAAATGATGAGAAAGAAGTAAATCCAACCCTATTCAAACTAATTATGGGCTTCTTGAGGTATTTGTGCCATATAAGACCTGATATTTCTTATGGTGTAGGTTTGATCAGAAGATACATGGTAAAACCTACTACCTCACACCTAGTTGCAGCTAAGAGAATACTGAGATATGTGAATGATACAAGTAACTATGGCATTAAAGGATCGATATGGTGTTCTAGTAGGCTATTCCAACTCTGATTGGAGTGGTGATAAAGATGACAGGAAAAGCACTGCAGCTTATGTGTTCATGATTGGAAATGCAGTTTTTTCATGGAGTTCTAAGCAGGAACCAGTGGTTGCATTATCTTCTTGTGAGGCTGAGTACATCGCAGCTTCCATGGCAGCATGTCAAGCTCAATGGATCAACATGCTAATGATGGAATTAAAACTGGCAAAGAATGAAAAAATGGAGCTCAGAATTGATAGCAAGTAAGCTATAGACTTGGAAAAGCATCCAGTAGCTCATGGTAGGAGTAAACACTTTGAAACCAAGTTCCATTTCTTAAGAGATCAGGTGAACAAAGGAAAATTGGAACTGCAGTATTGCAAGACAAATGAGCAGATAGCAAACTTGCTCACAAAGCCTTTGAAGTCAAGCAACTTTAATTACTTGAAGATGAAGCTTGGAATGACTGAAGCATCTAACTAAATGAATTAAGGAGGTGTATTGGTTTAGTAATTGAATTTAGTTAAAAACTAGTTTTTACTGTTGTTTAAAATTTTGTTACACCTCTTGATGTATAAATAGCCTCATATGCCTTGGAAACAATAATACAATTTCAATCATCAATAAATACAAGATAAAGGGTTTTATTCCTTTATCTCTTTACTCTCAAAATAAAAATTCAAGAACCCTGGAAATTCTTTCTCTCTTCTCCAACTTTCACAATAAGTCTTGCTTAATTTTTCTTATTCTTTCATATTTGTTCCATCAAGTAGAAGCTTCGAAGTTGTGTCAAATTTCGAAAACTCAAAATTGCTAATTCAGGGAAGATAAGTATTGGAACTGTGTCAGCCATTTCATCATTCATGTGCCACAACCATCTCTATGCCACATTCTTCTGTATAAAACTCTTGGAGATTCTGAAGCTCTTTGGCCACTGATAGGGGGAAAACATGATTGAGGCTTTTGCATGTAGTAACTTTCAATAGGCTGAGGTTTTAAAACTTGAAGCTTTCATTGGTAACTTTCCATTAGGTTATCCGCCTCAGATGCTTGCATAGCTATGATTTCGGTAATCATTTTGCAATTTGAAACTTTTATTTCACTAAGTCGAGGAAGGCCTCTAACAAAGGAAAACCATAACAGGTTCTTCTACTTGTCACAACCTTTGACTTCAAAAGATCTTAGTTTGGTAAAAGATTGAATTGGAACTGGCCCGTGGCATATTTCTTCCAGATTAATCAAATTTTGAAGAGCCAAAGTCTCTAAGTTGGGTGAAGCCGGATCAGGATGAACATACCCGGATGAGTCGATGATGTACTTCCGTTCAGTACTGTCTTGAATGCACAAATGCTTTAATTGTGGAAAACCCTTCCTATTCAGTTCATAAAATACATTTCTAACACAATGTATTTTGGCAAGGCACATGTCCTCGGCTGAATTCAACAAGTTAAATCCACGATCAGAAAGAATGCTTAAACCCCTACTGTCCTCGAGCTTAAGTACTCTTGAAGATTTATGAGCACCTCCAGACCATGTCAATGACCATTTCCACATATCACCAACAAATATGTTGTATCTTTCAAGCTTTTCAAAGACCTGCAAGTCCCTTGGCAAAACCGAAGCATCTTGAATCATTATGTCTAATGCAGTTAGATGAGACAAATTCCTAAGCTCTTCTAGACTTGCATTGTTGCTTTGATCTTTGCTTCCCATGACATCCCATTGGATAAAGCAATTCCCCATGTACAACTCTTCCAAACACGTGAAGATCTCTGGATGTTACCACCAACTTGCATCCTTTGTCATCCAAAATAACCCGAATACTCTTCTCCTTGCTTATCCTTCCGCGTAATTCTCTTGCTCTTCCCTCTTTTGTCATCTTATTAAATTTCAGATCTAAGTCATCAGCAATTTGTTCATGAATTTTTTTAAGATCTGGTGAACCACTTATAGTAGCCATGACAACAGTATCAAATAACCCGTCATTGCTTGCTTGCCAAGCTAACTGTTTGTATTGCATAATATCTTTTTTTCCCTCCAAATTTTGGACATCGGTTTTCATCCTTTTAAGGTTATGCTTGTAGTGGACAATGTAACCAAAGTAACGTCCAATAGGTGCAAACCACAGGTTTTGCAATTTTACCAGCACATGAAATAACCGCACCCATGGCCACCCCTTTGCTAGCTGTCAGTTGAAACAAAACAAGGAATACAATTAGGTCCAATTTGCTGATGATTATTTTTATTAGAGTAAGGCTAGGATTAGCTTTAGTCTCAAGGCTGATACCTGTCAGCTTGAGTGTACACAAAACCTGTAGTAGCAGGTCAACTGGTTACACATAAAAGTAACACAGTCGTAGTTGTTTGTAACTAACTGTTTCATAATCAAAAGTTAGTTAGAAACAGAATTGGAAATCATAAGTACCTGTCAGCTTGAGTGTACACAAAACCTGTAGTAGCAGTCAACTGGTTACACATAAAAGTAACACAGTCGTAGTTGTTTGTAACTAACTCTTTCATAATCAAAAGTTAGTTAGAAACAGAATTGGAAATCATAAGTACCTATAACAATTCTCTCTAATCTTAGTCTTTCGTCGGTATTTTCTATTGGAGGGAGATATTAGGAGCATCGATACATAGTGTAGGACTAGACACCTTTGTGAGAGACACACTACTTATCCACCTAAAACCTTAAGGTGATAGGTGAGTGGATTCACCCACTTATATATGCTTAAGTCTCCACATTCCTATCCAATGTGGGTCTATTTCCCCACTTACTCACACTTGCTATATTATTCTACAGTAGCTGCACAAGCTGTTGTGAAGTTTGTTAGTCAATTTTATGATTTTCCTGTTTTAAGAGTAGTTATTTCCTTTTAAATTAGTCTACCGTGTTATTAGGAAGGGCTAGTAGTGGGTGAAAACATGGGTAGTTTATTGTTAGTGGTGGAAATGTAACACCCTAAATTCTACCCGGTAGTTATAACGAAAATCGAGTATTTAAAAGCTTCCAACACATTTGGGGTATCACATTTCAACATGTTACAACACATAAACAGATACATAACACTTTAATTTCGGAGGATCATATAACAACTTGCATCAGCTTTTAAAACAAAACCACTTCTTTTATTAATAACGCAGCGGAATCATAATTTCAACTTCAAGTAGCATCATATGTTTCGTTCAACTAAAACAACTTGAGAGGCAACATATTATTTCATATAATTAAACTTAGAATTCAACAACTAAAACAATTTCAACAAGTAAACAACTATTTGATCATTTCCCTTCGAGTGCTAGGTATCAGAGCGGCCAAACGACTTTGAACTATTAAGGCTAAGCAAATCTTCTTTCTTGATTACCTGCACGTTACCAACAGAGGGCAACATTCAAACAGTAAGGGGTGAGATTCTTAAATCGTATAAGTGAGCGTATGATAAATCATATATTAGAATTCAGGAATATAAAATCACAACTTTCAAACATCTTTAATTTCAACAAAGCATCAACATGACATAACAACTAATTCACAACCTTTAAATGATACTTGTCACAATAAGTCAACAACATAAAGAAACAACAATCTATCTTCACCACAACTCAAGATCCAACACCGAATACGACTCAATTACAATGCACATGCATCTGGTACCATTGGAGCATAACTCCCAACTTAAAAATCTGTCAATAATTAGAGGCATCAACAAGGCATAAGCCTTCAACTTAATATTTTGCCAATCCAGGCCAACTTAATAATGCAAATGTATGTGACTCAATGAATGCAACAATCACATACAACAACAACCACCGTCACAAAGGCATAAGCTTATATCGTCACTTTACCAATAATTAGAGGTACTCATTGTCGCTTCAACATTGGCCATAGGCCTACAACTTAATCAACTTATCAATCACAACATATAAACAACGACATATTCAATAACAACAAGGTATTCGATAACGACTTATTCACAACAACGACCCACGACACAATTCTTCCCGCACTTCGCATCAACACAAAATTATCACAACATCATAACCACAATTATTCAACTTTGGAAACAAGCCTATATCACTGTTATTACCAATTAATAGATATAAATCTTTGTCATAACGATTCTTGCATCTTCACAAAATATTCGCAACATCATAACATCAACGCACATCACAAAGGAAAACACAACATGACAGTCGTTTCCAAAACACTCCCATAACTCTCTATGTATTAGTTCTTCATTATTTAATTATCCTCCTAATTCACTTCTAATTAACTAACTAGAAATATATCTTTTCTTCTGCTATTACATGCTACTGATATGAATACTTCCATTTGTTCCCTAACTGCTTTTATATTAATAAATTCTATACTGATACCATATAAAAATTGTATAACATATTGCTACAGAAAAAAAACAAATGCCTCTCAGACAGTGCCGAACGGAACACTCTACCTGCAACAACACCCAGTGCCGAACGACACTCTTCTTCCATAAATGTCCAGTGTCGAACGACACTCTTCTCCCTCTCAAGGTTGCCGACCGACAGCACTCAGCACTAACAAGGTGACAATCGGCATGCCTCCCCTTCTTATAATTTCCAACCTTCATGTTACTTCTCCAGTTTCCTTCGACCCACATATTTTCAACGGAACAATCAATCAACAACACACAAGAATACGAAAGTTTCACCAATATTCACCACTAGTTAATTCGTAACATCAATTGCCACAAACAAACACAAACAGTAATAAATTTACATCCTAAATCCCCACATACAATTCCTCATAAGCCCCATTATAGGATAAGAAAATCCACCCTTACCTTGGATTGGAGATCGCTCTATAATTCCGATTGCAACCCGCTGCTGCCATAGTTCCAAACCTTCATTCTTCTTCTCTTCTCCATGTACTGCACCCTTTTCTTTTCTCTTTCTCTAAAACCCTTATTCTTCTTTCTCTTCTCTTTCTTTTCCTGATAACACTAACTCTCTTCCTCTCTTATTCAACTTTAATATATAATTTCTATTATTAATTCTATTGGACCTAATATTCACACCACACATTTTACTACCAACAACACTTTAAATTAAGTCCATAAGAAATAATAATAGGATTATTATAATACTATTTTCCACCACTTAATCAACTCAATAATAATCTAATATAATAATATTATTTCTAATATTATTTCTCCGGTTAAACCGACTATTTCACTGAACATCTCAAATCAACATATTACTCCGATCACGCCTCTTAAAATAATACCGACAGATTCTAACTTCGACCATATCCAATAATTAAATCTTTAATTAATTTGATTAAATAATTAATTAAATTCGGGGCGTTACAACTCTCCCCCACTTAGGATATTTTCGTCCTCGAAAATCTACTCGATACTACCACCCTTAACGCGAAGTTCACATCCAACTTTTTGATCCCCAAGTCGTGTTTGACAACACTTCGACCACTACTTGACCAACATAACAATAAATCAACACAATTCAAATCGATTACACACATGTCAATCATTCAACACTTCGCGATATAATCGTTACTAGCATCTCAACTACTCCACCATAATCTGACATACCAACATTTTAAGTAGCAACAAGTATAACACACTTATAATTGAATATACATCATCTCAATATCATCTTAACACCTTTTTCAACCTCTAAACACATACACAATTTCTTTCCCGTATGTCAATTATCAACAAAATATCAACAAATTTGTTCACATCGTCGTATCACTCTTATAGTGACATCAACATAGCCAACATAATCGACTTCGTCATATTATGAAATATTATTCCTTTACTTACGGTAACCAACAACAACATCACGACAACGGGAACCAAATCATCACAACATCAACTTAACTGTATAAATCAACAATTATACACACAACTCACCATCAACTAACAACCATAATAATTTTCGTCAAACATATGGTTTACAAGTTTCAATCTAGTTTCGGACTTTCCTCAACATCCACCATAAAACCATTATTCACTTGATATTCTCAATCTTTCACATTTGCAACGTTAGCTCACATATAACTCGATACTCCGACTTGTTCCACGATATAACATCAATCACTTTAAACACTATTAAGATATCACAACAAATCTATATCATCCAACATGGTCTCGTCTACTATCAACAATAGATTGAGAGTGATCAGTTCCTCAATTTGTCAATTAGTATTCGACAAGCATAAGAGAGTATAAATCGTCATACCAAATTATAATAGCGTTTCCTTAAAACTCGTATTCAAGTTTTCTAAAACACAACATGTCTAATCCTCACAACTCGAGAACTGTTGGCATATCAATACATTACAAATCCTTCCACTCTAGTCTGAGTTTTTATCTACATAAAGGATTCTAACAACATTCTTAAACGCATAATCCTCTTCCGAATTTCACAACATCTAAAATACATGTATCTACACCTCTCAAACTCATTTCAATCACACTCTCAACATTATCATCTTATCTAACAACATTTCATATATATCTACACCTCAAACAACTACGATAGTAATCATCTAAGCTCAACAAGATACTAACCTCTATAACAGACTTTGTCATTCTCTAACTTAGAACTGCATCCACCTTGACTGGGTCTACATACACTTTCACTTGGAAATAAAATTACTCAAGAGAACTCTTCTCCCAAAGCTATAACATACCTCCTAACAACTTAGCATAAATCTTCCTCCTTTTCGACATTGTAAA